GTGTGTGTGTGTGTGTGTGTGTGTGTGTGTGTGTGTGTGTGTGTGTGGAGTGGGGATGACACTCCTGGACACACTGGTGGGGAGGGGAGGTCCTCCCCCAGACAATTCTGAATAAAGTAGATGCCATTTCCTGCATTCTGATGTATTTTAACGGGTTGTTCAACATCTCTCTTCGTTTATATAAATAAACACTTGATTCAATAACAATTTTAGCGTTAATGGCACAAGAAGTAGCACTAAACTAGTGCCATGCAATACAGACACGCTAGCTAAGATGCTAGAGGTGTAGCGCTCTGCTTTACATTACACAACCTAATAAACACTTTGTACAAAATCATTTTAGTGTTAACTGATCACAGTGGTGGGATGTAACTAAGTACAAATACTTTGTTACTGTACTTAAGTACATTTTTTATGCATCTGTACTTTACTTAAGTAGAGTTAAAAGAGGGTACTTTATACTTTTACTTCACTACATTTTACATCAAGTATCTGTACTTTCTACTACACTACATTTCTATAACGCGTTGCATTACAAGTTACATTCATGTTGCGGCTTTTTGATTTGTTTGTTACTTTGAAAGTAACTAATGGTGAGAGGAGTTGGTCCAGTGAATCACTGCAAAGTGGGCAGGTAACGTTAGACCCGCCTTCAAGAAAAGCCGGGCCAATGACATATATTCTAGTATATATGTCACTGAGCTGGGTGCACCTGCAGCACCGCTAACACACCCAAAATGTATTCAACCACAGGAGAGTCAGACAGAAGATATGCTCCACCCATGCCTTATTGAAAGACTGCTCAGTACAACAGGACAGATTCTCTCTAACAAAAGAGCCAGACTGGACTCAAAAATCTTTGAAAACCAACTTCTTCTGAACTTGAACAAGAAATTCTTGCTGCAATATTAAAATGTGTCAGTTCATGATGTTAGGAGACAAGAGATGTCTCCAAATGTCTCGACGCTCAGGTCCAAGTTTTAAAAATGGTGTCAGGAAGTTAAAATATTGTTCAATATTGACCCATTACAAGGTTGAATAGACAGTATTTTAACTAGAGTTGATGACAAACTGGAGTTGAAAAATCAGTGGAAATGATCAGAGCCTGTTCCTTTGTTAGTTGTGTCTAATGCTCCTTTTGTTCAGGAAGACAACTTTTACTTAAATGTGTTTACTGCAGTTAAAATATCACATTGGTTTTTCTTTGTGTTAAATAGTAACTTTCAAAAGGTATAATCATTCCTCGTTCTTATTTTGATTAATGACATTTAACTCTGCATGCCATCTGTGAAATTCTGACACACAGAGTCACAAGTCCAAGTGTGAACTGTGTCACAGAGTAAACACAATAAAAACATGTATTATCTGCAGCATTGTTCATTAAAATGACACAACACTATTAATGTATTACAGAAAATATACATACAGTAGGTACACTTAAAGATTGCATCATTGCATTATGTAATACATTCAGGAAGTACTTTTACTTTTAATACTTTACGTATTTTAAAAGCAAGTACTTATTTACTTTTACTTAAGTAAAAATGTTAATATGGTACATCTACTTTTACCAGAGTACATTTTTGTCTGTTTATTTTGTACTTTTACTTGAGTACAGTGTTTGAGTACTTTCTCCACCACTGACTGATCATAACAAAGACTAAACGTATGCAACCAGAAGTTGAAACATATATCTACATACAAAACACGCAAAAAAAGCACAACTAGCTTTAAGCACTAACCTTTAATTTAACCAGTAAGCAAATTGTAATTATAACAAAAAAAGAAAAGGAGGATTTACTTGCAGTTACCTTCATACAGATGAACATGTACTTCCTGTTTATCACTGCTGCTCATGAGGTCGGCCCCAGAGCTTTATCCATCTTTAACATTTTTCCAGACTCAGTTTAGGTTTTGGAAATTGAATAAACTGTATTCCACCCTCTAAAGCAGGGATACTCAGCAAAACTGCTCAGGGGGCCACAGTTACTGAAAGCCAGCAGCTCAGGGGCCGGACATTCAGCAATTAAAGTCCATCCATCCACCCATCTATTATCTTTTACCCGCTTCTTCCATTTTGGGTCACGGGGGTCGCCGATGCCCATGTCCAGCGATCACTGTGCGAGGGTCGGGGTACACCCTGGACGGGTCTCCAGTCCAACACAGGGACACATAGAGACAAACAACCATTCACTCTCTCACTCACACCTAGGGACAATTTAGAGTTACCAATCAGCCTAACATGCATGTTTTTGGTCTGTGGGAGGAAACCGGAGAACCCGGAGAAAACCCACGCATGCACGGAGAGAACATGCACACTCCATCTAGAAGGGCCCCCCGGATCGGGATTTTGGCCAGGGACCTGCTCGCTGAGGGACAGCGGCTCTACCGGTTGTGCCACCGTGCTGCCGCAATTAAAGTCATTATGTAAATAAACAAAGTATTATACAATGATCTGTTACCTTTTGAATTTGTTTATTTTGTTGCATTGAATCATAAATGCAATAAACAAAACCCAAAACCAGAATCACCCCCATTAAAAAAAAAAATCTTATTTTTGTAGGGGTGCTGAGTTCAAATTTAGGCACCCCCCAAAAACAGTCTAAACTCGCCACTGGTCTGTTCTGCGAATGATTCCGTCCTGTTTTTGAAGCTGACAGAGAGAAGTAACCGATGGTTCAGTGGTCTGACAATGTCCCCGGCATGGGAACGACGCAAGACGCGGTCAGGGAGGGGAGGGATGATGGAGCTAAGATGGCAGCCCTGCTGAGGGTGCTGCCTTCACGGGGTCAAGAAATAGTCAGGGAAAATAGAACGAATGAAACCGAAATACGAGAGTTTTGCTCACGAGAAGCGTCTCTTCTGCTATCCTAGACGGTTTTAATCCTGTGGCTTGACAACGTCGAATTTCGGGAGAGAAGCACCGCCTTGGATCGGATCGGAAGACCTTAGCAGCAGCAACCAGAGAGGCTACAGTTTGCGTTTGTCATAACCGAGAACCGTGGATGCTAATTGTGGCGGTTTTTGCAGCTTAGAGCGAACAAATGACGTGACATGTGAATTGCATCCGAGGGCTGGATATTATCTGGCTGTGATATCTTCCGTGTGATATATGCATTGTTCTGCAAGACGATGATGTGTGCTGCTGCGGCAGCGGCCGCCGGTGGAGGGATCCTGCCCTCCTTATCGCCGTCCATGGGGCTGGGTGTCAGGGTGTTTTCGGGAGTAGGAGCCGATGTCTCTACCATTGGTTCGGGAATGGGTTCCTGCCCGACACCCGGAGCCCAGTCGGATTGTCGGACTCGGTACCAGCTTTTACTCTCTGGACGAGCCCTTGCTGAAAGATACAGACGGATTTATACCACCGCTATCAACGATAAGGAGCAAGGGATAACTCAAGGAAGGTGGGTGTCTGTGTGAACTTCATAAATACCAGAAGCTGCTCTGTCATTTGAAGGGCTAACCGTGCTAACGACTGTATGCTAACACAGGGAAGCTAATTCACACTTAAATTAAACCATATACAAAGTTTATTGTTTAATTTGACCAGGTCTAACTTTCGGTGTTTCAGATACAAACAAGCAGCCCTAGAACTTGATAAATGAGCCATGAGTCAGCTTGCTAGATCAACGTTTTTTGTCTGACTTCCTTAGCTCTAACGCAACGTTGGTTTACTGTTAGGTGTTGTATCGAAATAAGCACCCCTGCCGCGAAAAGCTCTCGCGTTGTGAAACGATTATTTGAAAGCGGTTTTATTTATAAATTATGTGAAAGTTCGAAGTGTCGGATATAATTGTTTATGACTGCCCTTTAAAACACTTTTTTATTTCATTTTGATATATACATATAGGCTTTGCACGGAACCATGTAGCCTTCTTCGGCCAGTGAAACCTCTTGCAATTATCTCCATATTTATTTGACTACGGAATTATTTCAGTTTAATGATTTATTATGATATAGGAAATCAGAAATCGGTTTGTGACTCCGGATGTTTATTAAATTTACCAGCATAAACTAGTACACTAAAACGTGCTTCCCACGACATAGGCACGCTGTGTTGAAGGGGTGCCTTTTTCGGCACAACACCGGACATTGAGTTCTTCGCTAAACATTGACAGGAAATAACCGAAATAAAGCGGTATCGTTTTTAAGCTTTAATGTTAAGAACCTGTGCATACTTTATTTGACTAACTCTTAATATAAACGGTAATGGCGATAAATGTTTGGGATTACGCGTTGGGACTTAAACGTACTCGTTTTGTTTTTCTATCACAGGCGGCCAATGCAGTTACGTCACTGTAGTCAGTCAGGTTGTGTAGACTGATTAGTTTTGATGCTGCATCCTCCCTCACAGACTTGTTTGTTGTTCTCCACCCTTTCAGCCTTGTGCACACCAGTTACTTGCAAGTGCTCATGTATTTTGTTTTATTAACCATTCTTATTTACCTGGTTAATAAAAAAAACTATATATGTATATATGAATTATAGCTGACCTCATCCTACCTATCCTTTTTTTTTTTTGTCTTGTCATGTAGCCAAGCACAAATCCTAATTAGTTTGAGCTATACTTATAAAGATGTGAAAAATTGTGTTTTAGCAACTAGATACTTTAGTATTTTGATTAGGTTTTAGTGGGTGGGTTTTCACTATTGTTGTTGCCAGTTAATTAGAGGATAATGATTGATGGTAATTAAACACGAAAACAGTGTTTTTTATGTAATCATTTACAACCATTTCATAATGACTTCTTTAAAGAACATTTAATTGTCTATTTGGTATTCATTACATTGCATTATATCAATACAATACAATAATTGTTCCCTTTTTAAATTTTTTTTTTTAGCTTTTTTCATTTATATAAATGAAAAAGCATTGATGTAAAGCTGCATTTTGACTGCAGAAATCTTTTCCATTTTCATCAAGAGGCTTTTGTTGAGTAATTTCTTATATTTTTCTCCAGGACCATGGTGCTAACTAAAATTTAGTGTGAATATTTTATCTGACAAACCAGCCCAAGTCAGGAAGAAGAATTTTGTGAATACTTCAGGGGTGATGACAACAGCACAGAACATTTATCATTAGTAAAATACTTGGTGTTTTTATTTTGCCTCATCTCGCCTATCATTGTTGCCCAAAGATGATAAGTGATAATGTTTTTGCCTGTGTTTGTTTGTCTGTAGCATTAGCAAAATATATTAAAAAAACAGTAGATATATCTTACAAAATGGCTACAACTCAGTCATTTTTACAGAGATTGAACTAAAAGTTGTAGCTGAGAGTCATCCTCAACACATTCTCTGAGCAGTGGCACGTCTCGGAACAACTCAAAAGTCTCATGAGAGTGCATGACATAATTTAGACAGGTGTCTACACTGGGCCTGTTAGATCTCAGTGCTGTATTTGATACAGTTGATCATAATATTCTATTACAGAGACTTGAATATGATATTGGAATTACAAGAACAGCTTTAAATTGATTTAAATCATATCTATCTGATAGATTCCAATTTATAAATGTAAATAATGAATCTTCATCATACACCAAAGTTAGTCATGGAGTTCCTCAAGGTTCAGTGCTTGGACCAATACTCTTTACCTTGTATATGCTTCCATTAGGTAATGTCATTAAACAGCATGGCATACATTTTCATTGTTATGCTGATGATACACAATTATATTTGTCCATGAAAGACAATGAATCCAATCAGCTACTTAGACTACAAGCATGTCTTAAAGACATAAAAACCTCAATGACCCTAATTTTTCTGCTTTTGAACACAGACAAGACTGAGGGTTTAGTTTTTGGACCTGAGCATTTTATGAATAAATGTTTCAGTCTTTCGCTCTCCTTGGATGGTATTAATCTGGACTCAGGCTCTAATGTTAAAAATCTTGGTGTTATTTTTGATCAGGACATGTCTTTTTTATTCCCCACATTAAAAACGTTACTAGAACTGCCTTCTTCCACCTGCGTAATATCGCTAAAAATAGAAACATCTCGTCTAAAAATGATGCAGAAAAACTGTTTCATGCATTTGTCACTTCTAGACTGGACTATTTCAATGGTTTATTATCTGGGTGTCCAAATACTTCTTTAAAAAGTTTTCATTTAATCCAAAATGCTGCTGCCAGAGTCTTAACCAGAGTTAGTAGGAGAGATCATATCTCTCCAGTTTTAGCTTCTCTCCACTGGCTCTGTCAAGTCCTGAATTGAATTCAAAATCTTACTTCAAACCTACAAAGCTCTCAACAACCTAGCTCCATCTTATTCGAGATCTTATTGTTCCATGTTTTCCTAACAGAGTACTTCGCTCTCAGACTGCAGGTTTACTCGTGGTCCCTAGAGTTTCAAAAGCAGAATGGGAGGAAGATCTTTTAGTTATCAGGCTCCTCTGAGATGACTTCTGTTGTGACTTGGCACTATATAAATAAACTGAGTTGAATTGAATTTAGGAGGTTTGAGGAAAAACTGCTACAACTCCATCCCTTCTCAGCATAAGACAATGAGTAAATATATAAATAACGAGGAAAATGAATGCCAAGTGCAACTACAAAAAGTAAGTAGACCAAATAAATAAAAACTTGATTTTTTTTTCTTCCAGTGATTATGTGCAACAATACAAATAAAAAGTCATGTAGAAATTTGTAACAAAAGCAGATTTTTGAGTATCACAGAAAATGTTTTTGTTTTGGTCGCCTGTTAGGCTGCTCTGATCAGTGGTGGCACTTCAACACTTCACTGAAGAGTAATATGTTATATTTCATCCGACTCAAATTACCTGACCTACCTACGTGGAAATACAATCCCTCCCAAGGATTAAAAAAATATTTTTGCACTTTAAAAAAAAGAAGCATAAAGGCATTTAGGTTCTAGATTGTTTTGGTCAAACTCAGAGAGATCTCCTTTGCAAATGCCAATTGCAATTTGGAGCAGCAAAGTGAAATACTGACTATAGCTCCACAAAAAGCTACATGACACATTGGTACTGTAGCATGAACTATTAGTTAAATTTTAATAAAGGAGCACTCATGTTAGAACAATGTTAGGCTCTAATTACTATTGAAATCTACATACTATAAATTAATGTGGACCAAACTACACGCCCAGTTTTTTTGTGAAAGCGTTTGTTTTACAAATCTGTTTGCTTGTATTCTTTCAGGGGAAAGAAGGCTTTGAGTAAGAAGAAACTGAAAAGACGACAAAAAGTTAAGTCAAAAGTCAAATCAAGAACAAAGGTAAGAGATCCTATATATTGTTTATCTCTTTTCTCATTCATTATGACGCTTTTAATGCTGTATTTGCTCTTTTTGTTTTAGTTGTGCATGGTAATTCATGTGTTTAGACAGGTTTTAAGATAAAAGCCATACTTGAGAAGCTATTTTTTTAATTTTTATACTAGTTTTGAACTAACATAAAATTAGGGATGCACGGATAAATCGGCCGATACTTGCATGAGAAACCGATTTTACTGATTTTTGTAGTTTTAACAATTGTCTAAACTTCATTTATATTTCAGAGCACCACCTCATGGCCAGTTAAAACAAGTTTGTATTGTTTTTAGGATATTGTTCAAGGGTATGTTTTTCAGCAAAATAAGATGGGAGGTGTATTGTGACCTTATAACACCTGACATTGTCGCTTATAAAACAAAATCTGTATCGGCCAAAATCGGAATCGGCAGGTCAGACTTTTTAGAAATCGGTGATCGGCCAGAAAACTGTAATCGGTGCACCCCTACATAAAATGTTTGAAAGGTTTCACCAAAGTTCATGCTCATTAATCCAGGTAAAAATCCAACAATGTTCAGTCAGGTCATCTGGATGGTTTATCTAATTGCTGAGATGTTTTGTCCTTCATCCAAAGGACTTCTTCAATCTGAGGAGCCACCAAACAAACTGAGTCCCACAAACAACACAAACTTCCTTATCACTTTTGAATGATTCACAGACTAGAGAGATTAAGGGTGCATTCACACCAGCCCTGTTTAGTCCACTTTAATCAAACTCTAGCCCGTTTTCCTAGGAAGTCCGGTTCGTTTGGGGAGGTGTGAATCGAACTCTGTCATGGAACAAAAAGGCGAACTCTGGCCCGGGCTAAAACCTAGGTCTTGGTCCGGTAGAAAAGAACTCCAGCGCGGTTCCAGTACAGTGTGAATGTAAACAGACCGGGCCCCGCTCCACAAGCAAGAAGTGGAGTACAGTGCAGGGCAAACACGCATTTATCTTTCCTCATATGGAGCCGTCAGCTGCCTTGTGTGAAAAACAACATTCTCCATGGTCTTCTGTCTCATCTTCTGCTCATGCTGAGTCCATTTTTGAAAAATGACAAAATATAACTCCTAAAACTGATAAAACTTGATGTCACTCCGTTTTTGTTTTTATTTCAAGAAGAAGAAGAAGACGTGTCTTCAGAGGTTTTTGTGTAGTTTCTTTCAGTAGTTCTTGGTGCAGCACCCCCACAGGCGAGCGGGGGAACAGGTTGGTTCAACAGGTTGACTCGACTGCACAGTGCAGTGTGAATGCAAACTCACCAGCTCAAATGTAAACAAAGGTCATGAATACTGGTCCCGAACCAAGTCTACCGGACTATCAGGTGTGAAAACAACTTAGGACTGATTCAATGTGACATTTAAGTTTTCTTTAGGTTGGCTTTTTCATCCAGTTGTTTTGTTTCATCCTGTTGTGCTGTTTGTGGGACCCAGTTTGTTTGGTGACTCCTCAGATTGAAGAAGTCCTTTGGATGAAGGACGAAATGTCTCCGCAAAAAAAAGAAACCGTCCAGATGACCTGACTGACAATTTGACAGATTTAATTTGCAATTGTTGCATCTTCACAATAGTACATCCTTACAGCTGGTTTGATTCTGATCAGTCTAATCTGATTGATGGCAGGACTAAAAACGAGGTCACTTTCTGTGCAGTCTTTGGGGTGTTTTGTAGAATCAATATTTTCAAGTTTGTTGTTGTTAGGTTCCACTTAGATCATCTAAACACAAAGCTGGAGAGGTGGGGAGGTTACGTTTAAAACACACGGGCAGTGACTCTGACTTGTGCATGATGCTCTGTTGCCAAGCAACCTAATGTGTTTCTCATTTCCATGGCAACAGTTGCCTACTTCCATCTCTTTCATCCGAAGAGGAAACCAGATCTGGACAAGAGGATGCGGTTGTGTTTTTCTCTTTCTTATGTATACTTTTTATATAGCCTTCAGGTTTTTTTTTTACTAGTTTATTTAAAAACGATTAGAAGAAAAGCTCTGTATTACTTTTTTACTTTATCTTTTTCTCTTAAAAAAAGTACAAACTTCTGATTAATTTTTGCTTTTGAACAGAGCTTTTGGAAGGAGATACTGTATGTATAATCTACATATACCTCATCACTTTTGAATGAATCAGAGGCCGGAGAGAGATCATGATGGATTCAATGTGACATTTAAGTTTTCTTTAGGTTGGCTTTTTCATCCAGTTGTTGTTTTGTGTCATTGTAGAGCAGTTTCCAAAGACTGAGAAGTGTAGCTCAGGCATGGCTGGTTGGCAGCTGAGCTCCAAAACTTTAATTGTTGTTCCATGGGCAGTCATGTTTCATTTGTATGTTACATAGACTTTTTGTCTGTCACTCCTCTGACACTGGTGTAGTCAGACAGGAATGGACTTGGAAATCTTTCCTCATCTATGTTTGCTACTGCACTTAAACATAAAAGTAGGGCGAGAACAAAAGACCCGGCACACACAACATCTTTAGAAAAGGATGATGCAACAGTCTGTTTTTAGAGGCAGGTGTGTAATCTGTCGTGTTACAAAAATTACATTTTAAGAATTATGAAACCGTATTAAACAATCTATTGTAAATAGTATATATTTTTAATAACGTCTACTTAATTATCCATCCATTGTCTTTACCTGCTTATTCCATTTTGGGTCACGGGGGTCGCTGGTGCCCATGTCCAGCAGTCACTGTGCGAGGGGCGGGGTATACCCTGGACGGGTCGCAAGTCCATCACAGGGACACATAGATACAAATGAGACAAACAACCATTCACACTTTCACTCACACCTAGGGACAATTTAGAGTTACCAATCAGCCTAACATGCATGTTTTTGGTTTGTGGGAGGAAACCGGAGCACCCGGAGAAAACTCACGCATGCACGGAGAGAACATGCAAACTCCACCCAGGAGGCCCCTGGACCGGGGTTTGAACCAAGGACCTGTTCGCTGAGAGGCAGCAGCTCTACCTGTTGCGCCACCGTGCTGCCGTCTACTTAATTAATTTTAAGAAAATACATGTGATGAATGTGTGGTACTTAATTTGAATGACAGATATCAAGAAGTGATGCAGGTTTTAATCAGCCCACCATGGAAGCATGGTTCTGATTTCTTGTTTGCAGTCTGGGAACCCCCCTTCTGAATGGCCACATTGGTGCTGACTCTAGGAAGTAAAGTATAACCAGTATAAGCAAACCTTAGGCTTCTTTGTCTTTTTACATTTTTGCCAAGAAACCAATTTAATGAAAAGAAAATTCTTTTATTTCCTAAACCTTCTTAAGGTTTGTGTACAGTTTGCTTTTGTGTGACTTTTTATTCAACAAGAATACTAGACTAAACTTATGGCTTGCATTATTTTAACGAGCTGGATAAATGTTCATCTACAGTCTGCATTTGAACTAATTATTAGCACTAATTGTTATTTCAGCACATCTTGTATAAATACATAATTTATTTCAGAATACCTCATGCCAACTAAAGCACAGAAAACTGGGCCTGAATGAATTGAAAGTATTAAACATGACAGAATATATGGAGCAGATGTGTTAGTATAAAAGCAAATATAATCCTATATTGTGCCTTTTTATGCATCTTATTGATTGTGATAATCTCAGTTATTGGTCAGGTTAAATAAAAGGAAGCTCCAGTTACATCATATCGTGTGTTGGTGTAAGTGTTAAACTCAAGACACAACTAAGCATCTGTTTCTCTGGAAAAATAGTAAAACAAACAAAACAAATATATTTTTTTGTTATCAACACCTAATATTTTTCCAGGAAAAGATAATCTAATGCACCCTTGAGGATTTAGCTGCTGGCAACTTGGATATGAACACATTTTATGAAAGGGGATAAAAGTCTTGTTTAGTGTGCCACAAGCAATTTTTATTTAAGAAAAGCTTACGTTTTATTGTTTACAATCGGTGAGATGCATGGCCAAGTTTCAAGTGGCCAATTTGTGAAAATCGCTGTGTATTTTCATGTGCACGGCTATCAAAAGTCTCTCTTAGGCTGTGCAGATTATTTCCTTGCCCACCTTAACCCACTTTGTACCTGCCTGAGCTTATTATGCACATACCTTGGCTTCTTCTTCTTCTTCTTTTGGCTTTTCCCTCTTCAGGGGTCGCAACAACGAGTCATCCTCCTCCATTTCACTCTTTGTCCTCACTCCAACTACCTCCATGTCCTCTCTAACTGCATCCATATCTCCTCTTTGTCTTTTTCCTGGCAAATGCATTTCTAATAACATCCTTCTACCAATATACCCACTGTCCCTCTTCTGGACATGTCCAAACCTTTTCAGTCTGGTCTCTCTAACTTTATCTCCCAGTTGTTCAACCTGTGCTGTACCTCTGACGATCTCATCCCTAATCTTATCCATCCTTGTCACTCCTAAGGAGAACCTCAACGTCTTCATTTCTGCCACTTCCAGTTCTTTCTCTGGTCTTTTTGTCAATGCCACTGTCTCCAGACCATTCAACATAGCCACTGTCTTGTAAACTTTGTAGCTACTATGGCAACACAAAATTCTGAATTTGTTCAAATTTCAAGTAACAAGACTGCAAGCCTCTTTGACAAATAAATTGAGAACCCTTGTAAACGTTTCAAGACATTTTGGCGACTCTCATAAATACCATTTACTAGTTGTTATAGCAGTCGCAACCTAGTGAGATGCTCTGGTGATGCACTCATTACCTTTGTTATCGTGGAGACTGCATCAGATCCTTTTTATTTAACATTTGTCTTATAGAGCACGTTTAACACATTCAATGCGGTTTTCAAAACCTAACCATCTCTCTGTTGGGTTGTCTTCTAGAAGAGGATTGTCAGTGCTGTCTGCAGTTCTGTACCACAACATTTACTGAAGCCATTATTTTTGCATTTGCAAGTAAAAAAGCACACAAACACACAAGACACCTTCACATGAGCAGGATGTTTGGGTCATGAATTTGTTCTTTCCAACTGACAAAACAAA